AGAGAGAGCAGGACAAAGGGAAACGAGGCAACATAAGATGATAGAGGACCACGAAATTCAGCTCGTAAACTTTCAGCGGGGTTTAGTATAATTATAGCTTTGTTTATTATTGTTAGGCGAGCCACGCATTGTACAAGAGCTCTCAAACTAACGCGAATTAATCTCTGCTAAGTAGAACCGATGGAACCGACATCCCCATTTCTCTTCTCCCGCGTCGTTTTGCGAGATTCGCGAATGAAAGGTCGCTTCAGAAGAGACCACCCATCGCTTTCTCGCCTCTTCTTCCCCCTCCCCTTTTCTCATCCTGCTTCGCGGACTCCATGCTTCTATCATTGTCCCATTCTGCCTCCCTTAACTAGCATCTTTCATTAAAGGAAGCCGCCACCATTGTGCCCAACTTGTATGATTCGATAGACAATGCGACTTCGCCGGAAATTCCCGCGGCTGCCGTTCACGCCGCTTGCTCTCCCACGAAATTTCCGGATTTCTATAAACGCTAATCTGCGCGAAGAAGGGAATATATCCTGCAGACGCTATCGTAATGAAGCACCTGAAGCTCCGGAGCCAGCGAAAGGGAACATTATCGATGGCTTGGCGTTGAACAATGACCATACGATTCGATGTAATTGAAAATCTGGTATGTGTAGTATATCCTCGTAAGTTTATCAATTTGTAAGAGTAAGAAAGAAAGAAAAAGAAAAATCAAAAATATCCGAAGCTACTTTCAAAAATAATAAATGATGTAATCTATAAGATAATATCTAAAAAGAAGTTTGATAAAATTGTAAAATCGCTTTTAAAAATCTAAAATTTAAATATAAATTTCTGAAACATGTTTTTTCCTTTATAAGTTTAAAACATTTATACATTTTCTCAATCTTAATACTTTTAACAGAATCTGATAGAAATTCATTCTCATTCATATTATAATATTCGTTCATAATTATGCTTTAAAAGATGACTAAAATTGATAGACATATTACAATATGTAGAATAGAAAAGATAATAATCTATAGAAAATTATACGAAATAAAATTTTAAGAAGAAAAAGAAAAGAAAAATAGAACTAATAAAAATAAAAATAATTTAATTTCGAGGATATCTACAAAAACTTATTTTATTTAATATCTTATAATATCCTGTGTGTGTGTGTGTGCGTGTAATTACTTTTAGACGTTTTTATTAAAATATCTCATGATCAATGAAGCAGTAATTATTCCAAATTATTCGAGAGAATAAAAATTTAATACGGCCGATTAAACGAGACCAAGAAATGTGCGAGCAAAAAATATAGCGCTTATAGCATCGGATATGCGACATGATCATGCCTATCACATTAGCTCGACTAAAAACAATTAACTTTATAGCCGCCCACATTTCTCCATTTGGAATTATTCAAGAACCACAATGCAGCAATTTCCCTTGTTTCGTGAAATTACCGATCATAGCGCCGTTGACGAGGCAATGAGTTTAATGAAATTGCGTTTTTCATAAATTACAAAGAAAAAAGAAACAAAAAGCAATTACAATAATCCTGAAACGTTAAATCAATTGATTTAGATTAGAATATTGACCTGTGCGAATTGATATTAATTATTTGTAATTTATTTTTATACTATTACGTAAAATATTACGTGAAGTATAACGATTAAAAAAATTATCGCTTTTGCTCGTAAATAATGTGTAATTATTGTTCCTTGCAATTTTCTTCGTATAATTAATTTTTTCTTCATGTTTGCATCATCATTTATCGAGACACCAGAGACACACGATTAAACGCATATCGTAAGGTGGAGCACGAACGTTTAATTGAAATCCATTCTGAGCGTACAGCGTTTCGTAAGTTATGTCAGTCTTCTACTAAATTGCTTCGTTTGGAATGAACGCCTCCGGACAATGTATAAATCCATAGATAACTTGTAGTCTAGTATTATGAAACGACAAATCGGTTTCCTGTATCCTTATAATATTATAATCACAACTGCATGCAAGCAACAAAAATCATGTTTACACAATTATTTACTTTGGTCTTTTAGGACCAATATTTTATAATGATGTTAAAAACTTATCAAAAAAGACACAATAAAATATTAATATATTATACTAAATATATAATCAAAATATCGAAATATTTCTCTTGTTTGTTTTCAGATACAAACATAAAATATCCATCTCATATAATAATGGAATACGATCGAATTAATTAATTCGTGCATCGAGGTATAATCAAATTTTTTCTTCAACATGCATCCGCTTGTCTTGTCATGGACAAGAGTCGATTCAACTCTAAATTGAGATAGGTGCATTTAGTCAACTTACAATTAGTTATACTAGAGATATGTCATAAAATATGGCATATGCATATGCCGGTTAATCCAATTTGACACTTCACTAGACAGTTATCTGTTATTCACGCGTTTTTTTCAGCTGTCACTTGTTCGGAAATAAATTAATTGAGTTTCGTTTGTCCATTTCTGAAGCAAACTCAGCATGTCACGATTGATTAATGTCGCTGCCGAGGATTTAAATTCCGCATGGGAAATGTATGTTTTCTTGAATTATTAATGTATTTTCTATTTCTCTACATTAACGAAATTAATTTTCTATCTTGCAAGATATTAATTTGTAATATCTCATAAATATACAATTTTTCAATATTAATAAGAATTTCAGAAATATATTCTTTATATTTTCAAGCAAAATTTGAAATAGATTCGCTAAAAATAATTGAATTAAGAGCTAATTACAAAGCTAACTGAGACCTGATCTAAATTATGATTAAATTTTAAAACAGCTTATTCGAATACTCCTTTTTTGTGACTCCAATTTGATCTCACGTAAATTAAAGATAGTCTCCTTTGAAGAAATTTCGTTTGATTAATCCATGCTTGTCGTCCTGACTGATTTTCTCCTATTTTCTTTCTACCCATGCCTCGCTATAATCCAAACGCGAATATTGATGTGACAGGACGAACAAAGGATCCATCGGTTTTCCCTACGATCCTCTTTAATTTCCGCCTTTCTATGACGCTGCAGTGACGAACGACGCGGCAGCAGTAAAAACCACGTTGAACAAAATGAGTTTTTGGAAAGTCTGTGTAAGTTCAAATATGCATTTCAAATGCAGGAAATTGTGTATTTCACCTTAAATTGTATTTTTCTACCCAGACAAAACGCGAAATGTTGAATCATATTTCGAATATATAACTTACAAAAACTTACATAAAAAAAGAATATATCTATATAATTATAATTTAAAAATATATATATCTAAAATAAAATAATCGCGTATTTAAGCACTTACCTAATTCTTTTACACTTTAGGCCAACTTAACCTTCTTAAATCCCAACATGCAGAAAACAAAAACCCAATGCAATCTTACCTCTTTAACTTTTTCACGGCGCTGATTGGTTACGTCATCCAGAGGCGGATTCGGGGGTCTAATAACGTAAGCGCCAGGAACAGATGCGGCCGGCGGTCCGACCGCCGAAGGCTCGGATTGTTTATGCCTGGTATCTAAACGCCGATCTTTATCCTTATCCCGGTCTTCGATCTCGGGTTCATTCTGCCCGGGAACCACATTGTCTTGCACCCAGGCCGGATTCGACTGTTCGTTGCGTTCTTCCGGCGCAACGCCCCGATCGACGACACTCGCAAGAGTATCGCGTCGCGTTACGATCGTGCCGGTCAGAAGAAGGATCAGGATTACGGACAGCAGTCCGCTGATCGCTAATCTTTGCATGAGCCTCATGTCGTCCAGACACTTGCCGCAGCTTGACCAGCCGCCTGGGGTCTCGGACTGGATTGCGCTCGTATTGGCAGAGCTACGAGGAGAATGTAAAAGATCCTTTGTCAAGTTGATCAACGATGATCCTGGCAGCTTCATTACGTAACGGCAACCGGCGAAAGCAAGTACGACGCGTGAGTAATTATCATTTTTTAATTATCATTTCTGGATGGAAGCGAGTAATGATTTTACAATCGTGATTCACTCTTTATTAATATTTTATCCGTATAATATTCATATAATTTCGTATGTTTTTTAACCGAAAATTATCTTCGGAAAAAAACAAATTTATACAAATAACTGGAATAGTTCGAGATTGCAAAGATAAAGAAAAACGCATAGATTTTTTCACTTTCATTATATTGTATAATATTTTCACATTATGTAATGCATAACAAACAAGAAATATAAATATATAGTTATAATAATACGATTTGCAATTAAATATTTATATTTTTTCTTATCTGTTTAAATTATTAAAGAATATATAATTAATTCCTGTGTTAATCGATCGGTCTTTTTACTTTCTTCGCGTCATTGAATAATTTAATATTTAAATCGATCGCGAAAATTCAATCTAAGAGAAATCATATTCACGGCATCTCGTAATACTTACTTGCGAATCACCTGTTGTATGTAATTCGAGCACGGCAGCGAATATGTGCAATTTTTGTTCCAAGTTTTTTACGATTACAACAGCCGATTAGATCTCGCGATTATCAGCAACTGCGAAGAAAAAGCATTGACTGTGTTACCTAACTGAAGGAATAAACAGGATGATTCGAACGATCAACGATCGCGTCTGCAGTCCAGTCGTTATGTTCGAAATCGCCCGAAACTATCGCCGGCAAGTTCATTGATTCGGTACACGAGGCTGATCCATCTAACCGAAGGTAATTTTTGAGGAGGACGATTACATCGAAGCGTCGCAAAAAAAAAAAAAATATTAAAAGCGATACGTGTATGTCGAGTGCTGCGAGGGTCGGCGAGCGGTATCGCCGATCGCGAAAAAGGGAGGCGAGCGAAGGCACGAAGAGGTGAGAATCAAAGAAGGCGAGATAGTTGGAAGATTCCAAAGTCTCTGCCGAAATGTGATCGCTGCATTTTTTATCGAGCTTGGGGCATCGCAAACGGTTACTCCGGTCCTCCCTGCATCGGGAGCCTGCGTGCATTTTACCGCCCGGTCGCTGCAGGCGTTACACCTGCAGATCTTGATTTTCTTTCCTTTTTGGCCACGCAATGTACCCCCTCGGCGCGGCTTAAGATCCATTGATTTTATTTGCTCGTTCGTTATTTATTTCCCGACCGATGGAATCGGAAATTTTCAAAACCTGAAGTTTTAAAAATGTCAGTTCCAAGAGCGATAATCTCTCCCAACCGTAACAATTATTGATAAATATTAATAATTGAGAATTATTCATGACTGTTTTTAATTCAAAGGTGATATTTTATTATTGTGAAACGTTTCTAAAAGGCAAAAAATTTCTTTCCTTGATTTTGACGACATTGTATACGCAGCTGCCTATTTAGAATGTTTAAAAAAATCTTTAATCTTTGTATATATGAAATTTGTTATTTTTATATTTATTTATTGAAATAGATATCAAAACATACATTTGAAATTATGCTCTTGTGCTTAAATATAACAGCAATCATTTAACAAAAATTATATCGCAGTAATACTTATTTTTAGCAATAATGTCTAATTTATACTTGTGTTTAAGAATAAGCATTAATATGATTGCCATGTTAACGAGGCCATTTCTCGAAAATAATGTAGTGTACATAATAAGACAAGTCCATTTCATTTTATTATTGAAACGACAAGTTAGAGAGCGTAAGTTCTACGAAATATTACGCGTTAAATTATTCACAAAGACACGAGTTTGTAATTCGGTAACTGTCGATATTGCAAAATATCGAGGTCGAAAGTTTGAGATATCGAAGTTCAGATAGCGCGCGTTTCAGCGTTGATTCAACTCGATCGTAAGCGATGGACGAGATAGAAATAGAAAGCGAGAGGGAAAGGGAAGAATCAGGAAAAAAGATGCAGAAGACGAGAGAGGGAGAGAGAAAGAGAGAAGAAACGCGATAGAGAGAGAGAGAGAGAGAGAGAGAGAGAGAGAGAGAGAAGCAAAAAAAGAAAGAAGAAAGCGCGTGATGGCGAAGACGAGAAAGGAAGAGTGGAAGGGGAAGATAAATCGTCGAAGCTGCACTCGGTGGCCGATAAATTGCGCGGCGCAACCCCGAGGTTACCAAGATTGCTACGTGTCACATTCTTGCGGAAAATTGGACCGATGGAAGTATCTTAAAGCCAGACAAATATGCGCAATGGACACGTACGCGAACACGTCAGACCACCCACCCATTTGTGAAAATCTTGTAGCGAAAATGATGAGTATTTGCGACCATTTCTTCGATCTTCGTTAAATAACATACAAGCGAGTTTCTGTTTCATCGCTCTTCTCTCTTATCATGCGTTTGAAACGGCATAAGATAGTTACTTTCCTATTAATCATTGATATTGCGTGCCAGAACGGAATAAAATATCATATACCGGAATGTAGAACTGCTTTATGAAATAATATGCATAAAGCTACGTCTCCTATATTTCCTACCTCATTAAAAAATTTAACTTTTAAGCTTAATACAAGATGAAACAATAATGTAATTTTGGTAAATTTGATTATGAAGAAAAAATTATTATAATTGTTATTTATTTAGTAATTTGTTATAGTAGTCGAATTAAATATAACATTAAAATTTTACGCTGCTTTGTGCAATAAATTATTTATAATGTAAAGGTTAACTAGCAACAATCTTTTATTTCTGCTACGTAAAGTAATAAATATAATATTGTATGTATATATACGGAAAATTTAAACTATAAATAAGATTAAATCTCCAATCTTAGAACCGTTTCTCAAAATAATAATAAAAGTACATACAGAGAGATACACAGTATTTTTTTACACTTTTTCTTCTACTTATTCAACCTTTTATTTAATTCAATTTAAATCTATGAGATTTTAATGATACATTTAGTAAGAAAAAAAAACATTATAATAAGAAAACGTCAAAAAATCCTACTTTTATTGTTTCGAAAAATCATACTTTTTAATATTCAGATTAAATTTCGTTCTAATTAATGCTCCCTCGCACATTACTTCCTATTCATACGTTTTGCGCGTAAAACGTAACCGCCCTTCGAGACAGGAGCTTCCTCCTTGGGATGCACAGAGAACCGCCCTTTCGATCTTATTATTCCCGAAGGATAAGCGGTCATCGATTGTAAAGGTCGTATCTACCCTGCATATCGAGTTCAATGCGGCACGCACGGAGATCCGGCCACGGCGAGGTGAAGGAGAATCAGACGTTACCAGAGAGGAAAATGAAGAAGAGAAGAAGCGAGAGAGCGAGAGCAAGAGCGAGACATTGAAAGATTAGCGGGTGGTTCAACCGATCTTCCACTTCGTCCGAGGTTTTACGAAGGGGATAACAAATAGGGAAGGCAGTGGTACGGGAGAACGGAACGGGAAGGGAGGAAGGGAGGAAGGGAGGGATGGAGGAAAGGACGATGGCCGTGGAGATGGCGGGAGTACTCCAGAAGTTTACGAGAGGACCGGTGCATGAACACGTCAATGTGGAGCCCGGGGGCGTACCAGTGGTTACCGTCCCGAACGTCCGGCACGTGTGTGAATTCGTGTACACACGTACGTGCGCGCGCGATATACGTGTACAGCGCGAGGACCTTGGAATCTGCCCAAGTCGAGTGTCAGGACACACTGTACCTTACTCTGAATACCCGGCATTAAAGCCAACTATAACGCTCCTTGGATCTCGATTATCGGCGATCCCACCTCTGAGGACGGGAGATATATGACTTTGGCACGGAATGCCGTTAAATAGCGTCCGGTATTTAAACGTCTAAGATGTAAATTAATATATTTAACGCGGGTGTAATATCCATTCCTTGTAAGTACTTTTGAACTCGACTTTATTACTTCTGTGCTAAATTCTCAAGTATAAGTTTAATATAAAATCAAATTGTAATCTTATACATTGAGATTATTTAGCAATAGCGAGTAGTTCAATGTCAGATTTAAATATATTTAAAAAGAAATATAATAAATATATATTTCATTTAAAAAAAAAAAAAATTAATGCACCGTCGTGCTTTTTTTTTATCTCTCTCTCTCTCCCTCTCTCTCTCTATTGATCTTTCAATATAATATTTCTTATATATAATAATTTATTCAATTAAGATAAAATAGTCGATAAAAACATTTTAATCGACTATGAAAAGATGTCGACGTAGTTATATAATAATCTCGTCTCTTAAAATTAGAATACAATAGTCGTATTTATGTTGTCTAATTTTTCATTATGCATATGTGTATATTTAGAAACTAGAGATTTATTTCTTTTTTGTTAATGACTTCGAAATTAGTCAATTTAAAGGAGTCAATTATCGCTGTAATTATATCGATTAAGACACTTTTATTTTTTCTTGCTCAAAACAAGAGAAACAAGTCGTTATTGCTTTATCTCTGTGCTTCGTAGATTGCGGTTACGAGAAACTAGCTTTTTCAACTTTCGCTATAATATCTCCTTGAGAGTGCATTGTTCGCGTGTCAGTCCTGTCATTTGTTGTTCCCGGGACTTCGTAATTTACTCAGTGCGTTTGCATGTTTTATAGACGTTATATAAAACGTCGGAAATATATGGCGTCTCAAATATTTAAAGTTCGCTAGGGAATACGAGGCGAGACCTTCTCGCTCCCTATCCGGCTGCGTTTGAAATTTCCACAGTCAATCTCTCTTTGCGCCCTTCTCGCCGCTTCGTATCCCGTCACGCCTCGCCTCTTTCTAGAAACCTGCCGCGTCTCTCTCCAGAAACCCGCCACGCCGTGCAAGTCTGCAGAAGCTCCGATGGAAGTTTGCTTTCGTAAGCGAACGTACCGCTTCTCTAACTAAAGCGCAAACGGAAACAGCTGAGAGAAGGGGAGGAGGCGAGGGAGAGAGAGAGAGAGAGAGTGAAAAAGAGAGTCCAGCCGGTGGTTCTCCAGTGGAATCGGCGGTGCATACCGGCGAATCGTACCTAAACTCCGAGGTTTGATTCCGCCTCGTTCCCCGACGATGCAGCCTGAGACTTTGGGCCCGAAGGTATGTCTACTTAGTTTGCCAACTCATTACCCAATTATCGTTATAAGATCAGAAACCGGTCTGACTTCGTAGTAAAGGCGGATCGCGGAGTAGTCGGGTGGAAATCTAAAGCGATGCTAATTGCGCCCTTCCGAATTGAGAGAGAGAGAGAGGCCTCCTCTCCTTTCGTTAGATACGCCGAGTAGATATTTGAAAATAAAGTTTCGGTAAAAGAGCGAGTCTTACTCTCTCCATCATTATTTCACGTTCGGATCGCGATCGCGTGATTAAAGAGCGATAGCTCCATTTCGTTCGAGTATCCGCGGGCGTGAGAATAATGATTATTAATTAAATCAACCGCAAGCACAATAGTTGCATTTTTATACGGCGTTATACACAACACGCGACGACGATTAAATGAATACGAGGGTACTAATTAATGATCCTTGTCAACAACAGTCATTAACAGTAGTTACATATTTATACCTGTCCGTAAATAGATAGATAAATGGATACAGATGTATGTGTGTGTTTGTGCGCGTACAAGGAAAGCCGGGCGACCGAAGACAATGCGGGCAACGT